GTGCCTTCATCGCGCACACCGTCGTACACAAAGCGTCCGCAGGCTCACAAGCGCTACAGCACGCAACTTCAAATCAAGCGCATCTTCTTGCTCTTGATCATAGGACGCATTCACCTCCGCCATCTCACTGCCGTTACAAGCATGAGTCAAGTGAGTATTTCCAACGCGAGCAAAGGCAGAGGGTGTCGAGTGCAAGTCTGGGGATGGTCCCTCCTGCGTGCTGGCTCGCTGAGCAGCATTCATCCACTCTTGTCCTCTCGCACGAGCAGTTACCAACCACGCCACTCATCAGCTCGTCCGGAATGCCATCACACGCCGGTCAGACAGTGCGTGTCATTGGCAAAATCACAAGTGTGAGTCGATCTTATCTTGCCCCATCGCGTCGACGTGTTTGATCCTTTTGCATCTCATCTTCGCTCCAACTGACTGCTATCCTCGCTCCCTCACACTTCTTGGCCTCTTGCCCCAACGAATCAGATCGCCGGATCGCAAGTGCATATCCAGACTTCGGATCAGGGCTTGGTCGAGGTGGTGCTGAATAGGGAGACTGAGCTGCACCCCGAGGGCTACGTCGAGGTGGTGGGCAAAGTCAGCGAGGATGGTAGCACTTTGAGAGAATTTAGCTGCGTTCACTTTGGTCATGATATTGGTGAGTGGGTGTGATGGGATGGGTTGAGTTGATCGATCTGCTTCCGTTGTTGCACCAGGCTTGGCCTTGCCTTGTCGACAGCGCCTGGTGACGCGCGCGCCTCAGCGGAAAAGCAGCTCGCATTCGTGCTGCTCCTCCTACAATTCGAGCTCTAGAACATTAGAAGATGTCCGCGCAAGTCGCAAGACCCACAGTCCAGCGCATGCCACTCAAGTCGTGCTGCCTGCTCGGCCGATGCGTGCGACGTTGCCGAGAAACTTGCCAAACTCTGTCATGGGGATAGAGTGTCAGACAGGTCAGCTAATGATCGCTGACGACTTTGGGCTCATACCCTTTCCCCCCCCCCCATTTGTTTTTCGCGCACGCACAGACATGAAATTGGTGGACGAAGTCGTCTCCTTGTCACCCAACTTTCCTCGACTCTTCACGGACGAATCAGCCATGCAACATTAGTCGCATGGTCGGGGCTACATCATTGCGCTCGTGTTGCATCGAATTTACACCTGGTCCGCACATCGTCCTGAGCGAGCTGGCCTGGATAGATGGACTGACTGATCGTAGTTGTGCAGCTGCGACACAGTGACTAGACACATTGAGCCACGCACGCCCTCTAAAGGACGCTTTTGAGAATCATGGCATGTGTTGCCTGCCACGCCGCCTTGAGCAAATTGCTGAGCTGATTGAGCGAACCTGCGAGATGGCGCGTGAGGGAGCCATGCATTGTTAAATTGGCATGGTGTGGCACACGACGACCAAGCGAGGAGGAAGAGGAGCAGCGCATGATCGTTTCATGCCCGACTATGAGCTGTGATAGCGTTTATCAGACGGTGAGTCGCTGGCAAAAATGCCCGTTGGTAATGTGCTACCTGTATCGATACGAGCGCGTGCTGTTGCGTATTGTTGCTCATGGACTGGTCAGGTACGAGACTTGAGAGGAGGAGCAGGTTTGGAAAGCGTACCGGTACGCATCTTGGCATTCATTCATTATTCGTCATTCACGATTGTCCGTTTCAGAGTCTGCTGATCGGCATGCAGCGATGCGGGAGGAAGGCGGCAGCGGGTGCTAACAGTAGAGAGTATGAGTGTTCGAGCAGTGCGAGCGGGGAAAAAGCCAAGGCACAAATTAAGCGGTTGCAATTGCGCTAGCTCCCGCTGCACTGTCTTGCTGCTTGCTTCTCCCCCCAAACAGTCGCTCTTACGAGCAGAGCAGCCTTCTTC